CATATATAATCAAGTAATTGGGCACTTAATGGGCAACTTGTGCCTTCTTATTTTAATGAAGGACATTTTTCGGTATTAAGGAGAGTAAACCAGAAGCTTAATGAATCCTAAGAAATTATTTTGAAAGAAAAACCAAATGAATTCTCTTTCTTCATATGTAATTATAATTGAACTTGAAGTTTAAAAATTCATTAACTTGGAAATTTAGCAAGTCAAATGCCATATGTATTTACTGATCACGAGTGACTAAGTCCCATATTCTTACAGAGAATGCACCACATATGGTGGAGATTCCAATGGAATGAAATATGTTTGAGTCTAGTAAATGCCAGAAGTGAGAATGATTTGCAGGGGCTCAACACATAAATCCACAAAAAAGATAAACAAGTCACTCATCGTGCCTCTTGAAGAGGTTAATACCGAAGAAAGTGAACCCAGTGAAATAAGTGCAACTGTTAATTACAATAATCTTGGGAACGCGAAACGGCCAAATCTGGGTGTCATGGGAAACGAAAAAGTTGATGTTGATGTATACATTAAACTATATTGATACGTGAAAAAATATGATAAATTATATTTGTCTTCGATGACTCATTTTCCTCCTAAGTAGCTCTTGTTGCCTCAAAAGATAATTTAGATCCAAAGCCTAAAATTATTCAAGAATGCCATAAGCATTTAGACGAGAATGAATGAAAGGAGGCAATTAAGGAAAAATAAGAGTTTTTCGCAAAGATCTGACATTAATTACGTTGTATCTTATCCTCCCGTAATTGATTATATTATGTTCCATTACTTGATTAGTGTGGCAACTAAGATGTATCTTGTGATGCATTTAATGGACGTCGTGACTGTAAAGTCATTTGACTGTAACATTTATATGAAAATCCCAAAAGGATTCCCTAAATCCCATATAAGAAATAATTAAAAATGCAGCATGTTTAGCATTAAGCTGCAAGGATCATTGTATGGTCTCATACAAATTATTGTCTTTGCTTGCAAATCGAGTATCTTCCGAAAAGATTATTTTATTTCACCAATGTAACTATATAAGTTCCATAATGATGGTCTGGTCACTATTAGTGAATATAGATCCATTTAGACCAAACGAAACTAACAAGAAAGGATTAGGACTTGAAGATCTTAATCTTAAGCATCATAGGAGCACTATTATACTTTGCAAATTGCAACGAACATGATATTGCATTTACAGTAAAAATTCTAACTAGACATAGTGTTGCCCTTTAAGACATTGGAATGACGTTAATCATATTTTGGTTATCTTCAAGGATCTATCCATGATATGGAGATTTACATTGGTGGAATATTTTGATGTTGATTACATGTCTAATAATCACAGATTAGATATGACATCTCTTTATGGAAGCACTGCAAAGTAATGAAAGGCTATAAAAGCCAAGCCTAGTTGCTACTTCCTTAAATCATTACGAGCGCATTGCATTATATCTCAAGAATGTATTTTAATGTTTCATGTGGCTTACCCATAATTGATAATATCCCTGCCTTCCTCTTTGAGGATAATATGTAGCTTGCATTGCACATATAAATGATGTATATGTTAAGACTGACAATACTTCATTTTTCACAAAAATTCTTTTATAGGCATGTAACTCGAGATAGAGGTGTAATTAATATCCCTTAAGTTCTCTCTTGTGACAATTTTCACTAAATCCCTCACCTACTCCCAAATTTGAGAAATTGGAATATGAAATAGGTATGCGCAAACTTAGTGAAGGATGGAGCCCTGCAGATTTATTATTGTACTCTTTTTTCCTTTGCCAAGTTTTTTTCCCAAAGGGTCTTTTTTTTTTTACTTGGCCAGAGATTTTTAATGAGGCAGTTTGTGTAATTTTTTGGTAGTTTATGTCATGTACTTTTTTTCCTTCGCTATTTTTTTTTCTATTTGATTTTCTAGATGGGTTTTAACGAGGCATGAGCTGAGCACTATTGTAAATGGATTACTAGTCCTATTGAATGAATATTACTATAATTTATTATGATAAGAGATTACAAGATAACTGTTATAGAGAATTGTAATGTTGTTCCACTTTCGTAGCCCCAGGAGTAGCTCTACGGCTCAATTGAGGGGAAGTTATACACACTGCTATCTTTTTTCCTTTACTGAGTTTTTATCCCATTGGATTTTTCTTCGAAAGGCTTTTAATGAGGCAATCTATATTAACATATAAAATGTGGTATGTTAATTATGAATATTGTACTTTTTCCTTCACTAAATTTTTTTATCCATTGGGCTTTTCTTAACAAGGTTTTAACGAGGTATATCCATAGTATATAGTCATCCAAGGGGGAAGTGTTGTGACTTTATGGATGACTTGAATTTTAATTATGTAATTGTTTGACACACATGATGCAATTGTCCCTCATTTATGATTTCATGAATCATAACCACTACACTAATGAAGCATTACTCCCTCATTCATGTTTGTGGTTTTATATATTGACGTTTCTTGTACGCTAAATGGTTGCTAAATGAGAATTAGAATTCTACCTTTTTATCTCATTCATCTCTCCTTGTCTTCTCTACTCCTTTTTTTCTTCTTTCTTATTTCTCTCACTTGTCTTGTAACATGTATCTCTCTTCTTTCGCCCTCTTCATTTCATATCATATGCCTAATTTTTAGTTATTAATTCTTTTTTATATATAATGACCCACATAACTAATAATAAATTATAATCATTAGAGATAAGTGAGATCAACAACTAAGATCATATATAATACTTGCATAAGTGAAGTATAAAATAATTACTTTATAAAAAGTTTCTTTAAAAAATTAAATATTTTTTTAAACATCAAATAAATTAATTGAAACCCACTTTAAAAATAGTATAGGAACAAGAATTGACATATTGTCCTTGCTTGTAATAAAACTAATAAATAACTACTAGCTTGACAAGCAATTCAGAAAATTAGATTCTGATGAAATGGAGACATTGTCATATCGGTCTCTACTTTCTGCTTAAAGCCATTTGTACAATTACTATATGGGTTTTATGAATATTATGTTATACGGCACAATTAAAATAATTTTTCTATTGACTCAAAAATATGTGAGGCCCATTTTCTTTTCTTTTTTCCATAGGACCCACGGATTATTTGTCTATGACATGACATGTCTTGTATGATATAACATGATACTCATAAAACCCTTATTATATACCAAACTCTTGGTTCTAAAACTGGAAGCAAATTAACTATAAGTATTAAGAGTCAAGAGAAGCTAATTCTGGTGTCACTTGATGATAATAAATAAAATGTTATTCCATTACTTTATTCTAGTGACCCAACCAGAAAATCTCAGTGATATAAAGCAAAAGGAACCAATGATTAAAATATAGAAACTTGACCCTAAAAAATATTGATGTGAATGTGGTGTTACTTTGCATAAATATGGATATGATATGTCTTCGGGATATGCTATTTGGGCTTGGATGAGTTGGACCCATTGTCCATGGAGTCCATTCACTAAGGGGGCGTTTGGTTGAGGAAATTTTTTTGAAATAGTAGGAAAATGTAATAGATAGAGAAATGATTGGAAAGATAGATAAAATGAGATAGGTAGAAAAATGTAAAAAAAAATTGTTTGGTGTAGAAAAACTTTACTGAAAAAATTAGGTAACTTTATGAAATCAACAGTGCATTAAAAGTCAGATAATCGGTTTTCCGAAAAATCTCACCTTCGAATTGGGTTTCTAAACAGTGCGGATATCTATGTTTCTCATAAATCCAGACAAATTGGATAGATGGGTTTTTGGTGAAAAACGTTGAAACAAACATGGTGTTTCTAAAAGCCATACTTGAGAAAGATAGATATCCGCTGAAAAGCTCCCAACCAAACACCACCTAAATGCTAAATCCTAAATCCCTAGCTCTTTTGCTTACCAAGAGTGAGGAACCTAGCTGATTTGTTAAGTTAGGGTTAACAAAAATTTAGGTGGAACTTAATACTAAATATTATTCAGAAACTTAGTCACAATTATTTAACCACATTAAATATGTGATTAATTTTTAAATACAAGCTGGGGCCAAGATCCTACCCACACACTATGTGACTACGCCACTGCATACGAAATATACATATGAACAACCTTATCTTATCTATTATATATATAGCTCTTACTAATTTCATTATGGGAATACATTGCAAGTACACCAGCTCCTTGTTCCACCGGAATATTTAGAGGAGCTGTTCGCAGCCACCAGTGTTAAGTTTACTCCATGAAAATTCAAACACAACCTCATTATATCCAAGTATATATATATATATATATATATATATATATATATATATATATATATATATATATATCTCAATAATACGGTATCCGATACATATACAACAAGTATGGAATACGAATTTTTCTTTTAAAATCTAAATTGAGCATGTATCAACTATAAGCACACGTGCGCACCTTTGCTTCAGAAATGTGATTAATATAGGTTTATTTATTTTATAATGAATGTAAATAATTTATTTATATTGAACTCAAAACGATGTTGTTTCAGAGCAAAAGTCAAAATATTTTTATAATTATAATTTCTTCTAAGATTATAATAGTCTTTATTATTATAATTTTTTATATCTTTTAATCCAAAATGACATCGTTTTGAAAGTGAACGTAAATAACTTATTTACATTCATTGTATAAACATTAAAGACAATTAATATAGTATTAACAAATAACCACATGTTTAAAACTTTTGTAGGTTGAGGTCAATCAATGTGACGATGAGGAATATTGTATGGTATGTCGTAAATTCCCACCAAGTAAAACGAAATCAAGAAAATATTTGAATCTGGAAAGTTGAATGTGTCAGGGAATATATCATAGTGTTTGTTCCCGTTCCCTTCTTCTTTGGACATTAATATCTCTATATATTGAAGAAGATATTTGGCACATCCTAGCATTCTACCAAGGCTCAATAAACAAACAACAAAGTACAATTAAGAGAAAAAAGAATCATGACGTTGTTGAATTTCCATGAACTGTGGAAGCCAGTTTTGGTGATGATTCTAGTTAATTTAGCTCTCGCTTTTGTCAATATATTTCTGAAGAAGGTTCTTAATGAAGGAATGGACTACTTGACCATCCTAACATATCGACAGGCAATTTCAGCAATTTTCTTGGCACCCATTGCTTTCTTCTATGAAAGGTATGATCAACTATCCTTCACGGATTAAGAGGAATAGATTTTCATGTGTGTTTTAACATGATTAGATTATGTAAGACGACTCAGTTTCAGGGTGATAAAAGATGAAAAAAAACTCATTTTAAAATAGAAAATGATACATTAATAATAATCGTTGATTTGTTTATGAAAAGACTGAGATAGTTTCATAGGACCTCATCTTATATATCAAATGAGGCATGAGAAAATATATTTGGGAAATCATATAAAAAAAAATCTCCTTTTTTTAATATAAGTTGTTTTAGTGACCTAATTACATTTTAATAATTCTGAAATGTTGAAAAGATAAGACATGGTAATTTTTTTTTTTTTTAATTCTTATTTTACAGGAAAAGCAAGCTAGAGGGTCAGATAATATGTCTCCTTTTCATAAGTGCACTTGTTGGGTAGGTACTCTTTATAATCAAAGACACACACTTCTAGCTCTATATAATTGATGTTGTGTGATTTAGTAGCCACTAAACATTATGATTTTGCGAATTTATTTCAGAGTAACACTCACTCAATTCCTCTATCTTAAGGGACTTGAATACACATCTGCCACATTCGCATGTGCATTCCTCAACACAGTGCCTGTATTCGCCTTCATTTTGGCGCTGCCACTGGGGTGAGTCAAACAAAAAGATATTACTTGATTATGGGCAAAAAAATTAAAACAATGCATTTAAATTAAATAATTACGCATTAAATGCATTAGTGACCTATTTAATGCGTAATTATTTAATTTAAATGCATTATTTTAATTTTTTTGCCCTTGATTATGGGATATAACTAAAGTAGTTAGGTTCATTAGCCTCCCTTGCATAAATCATCTAAACTTAGTATTTATGATAATGAATTTTTTTATTTAATATATGTATATGTATGGAGGTATGTATATATTAAAGAAATCTTTCATTGAAAATTTTTTAGTGCAAAATAAATCAATCTAAACATACTTATTATAAACTTGTAAAGTAAAATAGAAAAAATATATTTAAAAATAAAAAATTATATAATTTTAATTTTAATTTTTGTGTAATAATATTTGGATGTACTTTTTGACTTTATATGCATACAAGTATATTATTTTTTACATGTAAGTGTCTCTATTTTTTTCTTTTTTGAGACTATCTTCACATTCACACCTTAATTTTATATATCCAATTTAAAAGAGAAAATTTTATTGTAGTATAATTTATTTTGGTACATTAAGTAATTTTTTATTTTACTGAATATTTTAATTAAACTCAATTTTGGTTATGTTTTGATAATTTTTATCTAACGGTTTTAAACAAATTAAAATCATTTATTTACATTTTCATTCAAGATAACTTTATAATTGATTTATCAATTATTAATTAATAATTCAAGATAATGTTTATATACAGATATAAAATATCAATTTTAAATGAAATGTGATTTTTAATTTTAACAAAGCCATAGATAAAAAATAAATTTATAAGTTAAAAGAACTAAAACAATAAAAAACGTAATAAAAGTGTGGTGTGACAACTTTAATAGAGTAACTATTATATTATATTATATTATATTATACTATAGATCCTAGAATAATTATGACCCTTTAGCTTGAAATTCTTTTAGGATAGAGAAGGTGAGCATGAAAAGCAAGAGTTCTAAAGCCAAGGTCTTGGGAACTTTTGTGTGCATTGGTGGAGCTTTGGTATTGATCCTTTATAAAGGAATGCCCTTAATGAACCCAAAATCACAGAACATAGTAGACAAAGGCACAATGAAACCATCAGGTTCAGAGTTAAAGCAATGGATTGTTGGCTCAATACTTCTGACTGCAGGTTGCCTCTTGTGGTCTTCATGGTTTCTTATACAAGCAAGGATTAGCAAAAAGTACCCCTATCAATACTCCAGCACTGCCATTTTGTCATTTTTTGCTGCCATTCAATCAGCAATATTAACTTTGATCATTGATAGAAATAGTGCCACATGGATTCTCAAAGGAAAGTTAGAAATCATGACTGTTATATATGCTGTAAGTATATTCTTTATGATAAAATTAAATACATCAGTCTGTTTGTTTTACAAGTAATCTATGAAAGTTTCTTTTCAAATTACAAGTTCAAATTACTCTGAATATCAATTAGCATTTTGTAGTGGGTGAGCTTTGTGATTAGGTGGTCACGGATTCTAGCCTGAAAAACAATCTCTTTGCAAAAATATAAGGACAAAACTACGTACAATTAACCTTTATCTTTACACTTGTAAGTCAGAGAGCTTTATGTACTAGGATTTGTCCTTTATCAGTTAGTATTTTATAGAAGATTCAACAAACTTGAGTTATATACATATGTACAAAATTTTGCATTGAAATTTGCTATGTCATATAAATGTACAGAAGTTTGCATTGAAATTTGCTATGTGTGTGAATCTAGGGACTTGTGGGATCAGGGTTGTGCTATGTGGCAATGTCATGGTGTGTGAAAGAAAGGGGTCCAGTTTTTACTGCAGCATTTACCCCTCTTCTACAGATGTTTGTGGCTGTGCTTGATTTCACTATGTTACAGGAGGAAATTTACCTTGGAAGGTTGATTCCTGTTATCACTGTCTTATTCTTTCCACCTTTTTTGCATTGCATTGCCCCTGATGCTCTTCTATCTGCAATAATCAGTGTTGCAGGATCAGTTTTGGTTATTGCTGGCACTTATATTCTCCTATGGGGTAAAAGTAAAGAGGGAGAACAACAATGTGCCTTGAAGGATACTCAAGAAAATCAAGAAGATGAAGAATCTAAGCTAGGAGAGAATAAGAATTCTCTAAATTTCAAATGAAGCACTTGGATATTACAGGAATTATAAGTTGATAATTTTCTTCAGACTTTCCTTAATTTGTCAATTACTCATGTCAACAGAGTCAAAGTCAAGCTCTACATGTCTATTCCTTAATTATAAAGTTTTTATCTACGTATATGTACCAGCTGATTAGCACATGCAAAGCACAAGAGTTCCAATTTCATTAGTAGAGATGATGCATATTATATAGACCACGCTAATTGACTTTCCTAAGCACGAAAATCTCAAAAATTACTATAATACCAATTCAAGTGCCAAATACATTAGGGGAAAAACACTTCTCCCCCTAGACTAAAAAAAAAATTAGAACTTTCTTTTTTTTAAAGAGTGAACCCCACAATTGAAATATGTGTTTGTTGCTGAAGAATAGCTTCTCCTGCAGAGGAACTATTCTCCTATGCATTATACATGTAAATTGGATTATATTACGATCACACCAGGAAACAAAATGTTTACACTTTGGAAAAAGTATTTATCCTTTTAAATAACATAACTTGTGTCATTTCATTCTCACAAAGAGATGAGACCCACACTTTTATTTTATTTCTTTGTCAGCTCTCTCTCCTTCTTTATCTATCTCTTTCTCTCTCTTAAAATAACACAATTTTACATTTTTTAAAATGACACACACTTCTCCCTTTCACCTTACCACCACACCTTACCACCACAACACTATGTTGGCTTGTGTGATTGTGACTAGATTACATTGTGACTAGGCTTGCCATCTATTCATTATAAAAAGCAACTCATGGAAGTTACAAGGCATACTTTTAGTCGGGCCAATGAACTGTATATGCAAGTGAATAGCATCAGTGAGACTTGAATATATAATTTATTGGTCAATGAACGTGGACTATTATATTTATTAAGGGTTTTATAAGAGTTATGTTGTAATAAAAGTGATTGTGTAATGTTACATAGATTCGTTTTGCGTGCCTTAATTTTTATTTTTTATTTTTTTTTCTTCAAAAAATGCGGGTCCCACAAAATATTGTGTGGAGAATTTTTTTTGAGTCATGTGACATGATAGATGCAAACTCCATTGATTATATATTGTCATATAAATTCAATTCAAGCCATTTAACCAATAACTTATAAATCTAGTATCTCGGCTGAGTTGATGACTCATCTGAGTTCAATAAAAGTGGCTATATCTTTAATAATTTCATCCCCAAATCAGAATAAGAAACAACTCGTTATTCAACCTTAGCATTAATTTTATTGAATATATTGTAGTAATTAAGATAAACTGATATTTGAATTTTGTTTGTAGCCGAATTACCCACGCTCTTTCATTTGTCTATGGTTGACACTGACTTAGATTGATTTATTTATTTTACAGGATATAATATTTCTCCCATAATATAACATTCCTCTGCAAAACATCACATCCAGCCAAAATTTGATGATTTAAGAATTAATCGCTAGTTCTTTAAAGCAATTTTTTGTTATGAATTTGTCATTTTTTAAAATTATTTTATCTGGTACACAATATGTGGAATGTCTTCTTAAAATATAAGATTTATAAAAAAAATGAAATTAAGTCCAAAATACTTAAAATACTTCTGCTCCGCAAATGCTACGTGTTTGAAATAACTTATTTTTGTATTCAAAACAGTTCATTATTAAAATCTTACAAACAAAGCTTTTGAAAAAAAAAAAAAAAAGTGATTTTCCTGGCATTATTAATCAAACCGAAACATGGATGTGACATGAGTACAGAATAAGTGAGGTGATCAACATAAGCTACTTGCCAAACAACTAAATCGTGTAATAATGGAAAATATTACACATTTATCAAATACTACATATGTATCGATCACTCGATACTTTTTTTTTTATTAAATACAAAAAAAATAAGACATTCACACTACCTTTATCTTTATGATTATTTACTTTTATATCCCTAATTCTTTCTTTTTTGATAAGGAAATACCCATTCTTGTTTTACCGAAAATACACTCATAATAATGGTGGTTAAAACCACTAATATTGTTTAAATACAATACTTGCTACTTCTACTCCATATGTTAAAAAATCTCACTTTGGTTAAGACCACTAGGAGCACTTCCTTCTTTCTTTTCTTTTAACTTTTTTTTTTTTTCACATGGAAGAGTTCTAAGTTGACTTGTAAACAATATAAAACAAAAACGGATCATATAACATGAGATTATGTGAAAGGATTTCAACAATTCAGATACAAATCAATGATGATAAAATAATACATTAGGATAAAAGGTGAGAAATGCCTAACCATTGATTTATATCTATATGGCTGAGAGCCTCTCCCATGATTTCATGTAATATGAGAGGATCCATTCCATTCCCATATGAAATAGTAAGAAACAAGGGCCAAGGGGAAGGAAGGAAGCACTAGTAATGTCTTTCTCATATTAACACACAAGACAGCAAATATATATATTTGAAATTGAGAACACAAGTCAGCACATTGCTACTCGGATAAGATGAAGAAGAACAGAGAAGAAAAAATAACAAAAAATGAGAATGGAAAATAGAAAAGGGTACTTATGATTGCTAGGAAATTTGCAAGGCTCTGACTCGAGTAGTCAGTTCCCGAACTTGGTTTCTCAACCTCTCAGGATTGCAAAAGAATTCAACAAAGACTCGCCTTTGAAGTCCAATTTCTTGTGAGTGATGCTTCACAATCTAGATGCCACAGTGCAAATCAAGTTTCAGTTAACATAACAGAAATAGGTTCAGAATCTTTGTAAATGATGTGGGGTTGTCTATCAACATCGTTATATAATAGAAATATGTTCATTCTATACTCATGCAAAAATTTACTTCCTTTGGAAATAGAGGAGTGATTCAATATCATGGAGAAGAAGGGGAAATGGATGAGTGAAAGAAGAGATGAGTTTTGGTAAAATTATTTAAATCCAAAATTAACACCATTACTTTCTTTTTCTTTTGTGAAAGAGACAAGGCTCAATTTCCATAAACTTTTGTCTTTATGCTTTTAAGTTATCAGAATCAAGAATATAAAATGCAAAATTTTACCATGAAAGCTACCATGCAAAAGTGTCACTAAGAGAGAAGTAAAAGGTCCCCTTTTTCTAATTCTCAATTCATGTAACTATGTCAGGTGAAAAGAGTTGAAAACTAATGTTGACTGTATGATAAATAATCTTGGCCATTTTTATTTTTTTTTCAGGTGAAAGAATCGTAGCATTTTAATGCTAATGCATCTGATAAATGATCTTTAATGATTATGCTGTTGCTTAGGTTTCGCTGAACCTGACTCCTTTCTCAGTGTTATGCTCCTATATGTAAACTCTACTTCAAAAAAATTCACTAAATATTCTTAACAATTAGGAAAGAGTTATCACTATAGAACAAAACTAGTTAACACATCATGTTAATATGAATAAAAATTCTAAAGCTCGCATGTGTAAAGTAACTTGTTAATGATTTTATATATTTAATCAATTATAATAGGCTTAGCCAAAAATTCCACTTATTACTCACAAGATTCGAATCAATAAGAAGGAACCTGATAAGTAGGACTACTGAGAAATCATCGACCCAAGGAAATTGTTGATTAGATGGCACGATGAAAAAGCTCAGGTTATAAAACCCACAAATGATTAAAGTCCTTGATGTTTGCAAAATGATCATGTAGTGTGCAGAACTAATCAGATGGAACAGAACCTTAAAGCAACATTACCTCGTTCTTCTTCACATGCTCTAGTGTCACCTCTTCCACAGCAGCAGAGAGCTTTGCGTTAATCTTTTCCATTTCATCAAGCTCTTTCATTAATGGCTAAATAAGACATCAGATGAAAAAAGACAAAATGTCAAATCACAATACAGACAAATTGAAAAAACTGATATGCCCATTTTTTACGACTTTGATCCAGACATAATTTAAAAGTTACAAATTGCTAAGAAACATAGTCAAAACGTCAGGTTACTTTAGTTCAGTAAACCCCACATTATTCTAAATTACACCATCACAAAGTAATCCATTCCTTTAAAACCCTGACAAAGGAATACCACCTTTAATTTTCCCCACAATAATGGACATGACAAAAACCCCACCTAGTGGGAGAAGTCTTTGGTTTTTGTTGACGTTGTAATGGACATGACAAAAATAATAACTAAATTGTTTATAAATAAATCCAATAGCACCTCAGTGGTTATATGTTACAAATTAAAATTGAGGAAATTTTAATTTTTGTACTATCCATAAATCCGGTGAAATATTCAACCTATAGGCCTCCATATAGAAAGACAAATTTGTTCACTTCACCATTAAGAAAATCAGTAAAACGTAGTAGCCCCACAATAACAACAATGAAGCATTATAATTGAAAGAAATATTTGTGTATTATAAAACTGTGTATTATCTGTACAAGAGTTCTCTAATTAAGGGGAATAAAAACCTAATGGGCTAAGTCCAAATACTAACTATTACAAAATAGTAATAAAATAATTCTAGTATTTATAATAATTATCCCACTAGGTGGGGTCGGCTAAATGAGTCAATCAATGCCATTGGACTCTACTAAAAACCAAACTTTCAATAAAAACATTTTGGAGATAGGTCTTTAAATGGCTTCACCTTTAGAGTTTTCCTCGGTCTTAATCTCCTCCCTTTAATTTGTGACATATAACCACATATGGTGTTTATTAATCTCATGAAGGCGTATGATAGGGTTCAAAGAAAGGTCATGTGATGGATTTTGAGAAGAAAAAGACACCTACAAAGTAGAGACAAGAAGGATGTGTATGACGGTGTTATTACATATGTGAAGGCTTATAATGGCACATCAAGTTATTTTCCATTCATAGTAGGTTTACACCAAGGTTCTGCATTTAGTCATTATCTTTGTGCCCTAGTTATCGATGAGCTAACAAAAAATATCCAAGACAAATTGTCATGGCATATGCTATTTGCAGATAATCTTGTGCTTATTGTTAACACTAAACTAGAATTATAGAGAAGCACACTGGAGTGTAAAAGATTTGCATTAAGTCAGAGTAAGATTTAATACATGGAGTGTGATTTCAACAACAAAAGGAGGAGATCAATGATTGTTAATATGCCAGGCGATATCCAAGAAAGATGCATTAAGATATCCGAAACCAATCTTGCAAAAGGGAGGAGAGATTGATGAGGATTTTAAGATTTATAATGCTATATATAGTAGTGAGAGTAGTGGAAACAACATAAGCATAAAGTGACAGTAGCAAAAATGAAGACGTAAAGGTGGATGTGTGGTTATATAAGGATGGATAAGACAAAAAATAAAGATATTCGATGAAAAATTGGAGTGATGCTGGTAGAAGAAAAGAATATAGATTGAAATGGTTTGGGCAAGATCTTCAAAGACCCTTAGATGCTACAGTAAGAAAAGAAGTTTGTTACCGAGACCATGACATAAAGAAAAGAAGAGATCAGTTGAAATTTACTTGGGCAAAACTAGTAAAAAAAACTTAATGAAGTGGGAAATAGATTAGTGTACAGTTTGTCTTAGGAAGAAGTAGAGAAAAGCTATTTGCATTGTGCAGGGATAGAATTTTTCTCTGTTTTTATTTATTTATTTGTTTTACTTATTAATATATATATATGTATATATATATATATATCTTATTTTTTCTTTATCATTTATTTTTCTTTAATCTATTCTTGCTTTTATATGAGGGTGAATCTGAAGTAGTGGTAATTCTGCTCCTTTGTGACTGAAAAGTCACGAGTTTGAATCTAGGAAACAACCTATTTGAAAATACGCAAAAATAAGACTGCGTATAAGAATTTCCCTAACCCCTACCCTCCCTAATCGGGGTTCAATGGGAAGTGGTTTATTCTTGCTTTTATATGAGTTCATCGCCAGCCGACCTCAGCTAGTTTGGGGTAAAGACGATGTTGATGTATTTTCCATTTGACTTAAAGATCAGCCTATAATGTTCTCATCAAAATGGAGTTTAGATATTTAAAATCTAAGGTGCCGAAAAAACTACACATTATATAGGTACTATATTGAGTATACCATTCTTGCCTTTGCGTGAAATATACCTGTGTGAAACATATCTGTGAAAAGAACTTACACAACTAAAACCAGGGAAGAAAAACGAAAAACAATTGTAATATGCTAACAGCAAAATCAAGAAGCTATGGATGCAAATCAGAGCCCCATACCCGAGGGGTCAGTATTGGCTGCGCTGTTGTTGAAGATGCAAAGAGCAGTTGCTGCTGACTTTGAATAAAGGTGCACCTATAGATGTAAAAAAAGACATGAATGCTTTCCCAATTTTTTTATTATTTTTTTTTTAAATCAAGAAGAAAAGGACACTCAAAACTCGACCACTACGGGAAAGAAAAATCATTGCTGTCAACAAAAACATGCAGCAGCTTTAGATATGATTTTAAATCCAAAATTATTTGGACATTGACTCCAAATTTGACAATAATGCAGTTGGTCAAGAAAGAGAGAATGTCTCAAACAACAATACTTTAAAGCTTAGTTTGCAAATAGATCTATGTTAGGTGGCATTTGATATTAGCCTCTTACGCTGGCAGGATACAGATTACCATTGTCAATAACAATAAATGCTTACTTGTGTACGCATGTCTGTCATAGTTTTAGTAAATTTTCAGACCTTCGCATATGCTAAATTCACAGAAATATCAGCTTCCAATGATTTTAATTATATCAAATGACACCAACGCAAAACTTGATACACTTGCACTAATCAATGGCTCCTTACAGAAAATGTTTTTGATTAATCCATCCATTAAATTATTATTGTGCAGATCTTCCATTTTAAATTCAGAAAATTTGAAGAAAAGTATGTGATGAAGTGGTTGATAATTTATTTTCTTAAAAAAGTATGTTATACATTTGTTTAATGTTACATTAACGTGAAATTTCCTGCTCGTTCATTATACAAACTTTTAATCCAAAATTAGAGTTTGCGAGAAATTCATCCTACAAAAGGGTTATGCTTGTCTAAGATTGACTTTTGATTTACACTGGTGTCAACATATCTTAGCCCTCTGATTACAATATAAAGAATATACTTTTGGCATCCAAAAGAGCAATGTTGTTTGCATTAGGTCTCTGATGCTTATGAATTCTTTATGATATTATTACTATATAAAATGGTCTCTATATTGAATCAGAAGCCATTACCGCTCAGAAGGATATCATAACGTACAGGAGATTAATTTTTATCAAAAAAACTTACAGTTCATTGATACACCTATTTCTGTCTTCCGGAAGAGAATTCTCAAGGACCGACTGAAGGGTCATCAAATCTGAATGAAGAGCTGATATCTGCTGGACAATGCCTGGTGCTGATACATATGTTGACAATGCAGCTTGAGTATCTGGGAAAAAACGTAGTGTACGAAGAAAATGGACAAGACAGCTTATTAGAAGGCTAACAAGACCATCATAATTTAAATAAATCATAATATTTTGATGAGTTAAATCTTCACTTGAATAAAGTTTTAGCAGGTCTCTAATAGCATGCAAAAAAAGATCACTATCATGTACTCCCCCTTGTTCTTGATCATCCGATGCAGCTTGGATAAGGGCCAGGCAACGACACTGCAAACCATCAAGGAAAGTTCAAAACATGAGAGTAGAAGTTCCAAGGTAACCTGTAATATGATCTTGAAACTACAGATTATGAAGGAAAATATATGGAACGCAAAGATAGCAGAATCCGAATACCAATATAATTTTAGTTTCAGTAGCCTTACCTCCACCCCATACTCGCTAGTCGGGTTTAACGGGGAGTGGTTTTTTTTTTTTTTTTAATGTCATAGCTGATCATAGGAGGGGAAATATTTTTGGAAGGTATACTCAAAGCAGTGTAGTGGCAAGGGACAAGCAAAGGACAAAAGTTAGTTTATTTAATAAACTATCCTTAGCATGACATTATACAACCATCTTCCAACTATTTCAAGTTAACCACCACCTTTTTTCAAGTGCAACCAACAAGCCAAGAGTGATATAACCTATTGTTGCATGCCAGCTGCTGAAAATATAAAAGGGATAATTATGTAAATATTGTAGACTTGTTTCATAAACACTATAGAAAACTTGATCCACGAGCTGCATAGTGTGTTTTCTTGAGTTATGCCCCCGATATGAAGGGATACAAATGTTACCACCCTTCAAATCGTCATTTTTTGGTTTCCATGGGTGATATCTTTCATGAAGATGAATCATTATTCTCTCGTCTCCATCTTTAAGGGGAAGCATTTCGGAAGTTGAGTATGGTTCATTTTCTTTGCCTAAGTCAGCTCTTGAGCCCTTCTTTTGTTTGCTTCACAATGCATAGGAGTTAGCAACTCTACTTGGTGCCTCGCCAGAACCATCTAAATTCAATCAATCAAAGGGTAGTACACCAAATATCAGAGGAGGGGATTCCCTAAATTGATCCAACAGTAACATCCAATGTCCGAACCTAAGGTAAGTACTGAAGATAATAGTTCTTCTGTTACTGAACTTGATACTTTAAATATTCCTTTGAATGATTGTAACCCTAATCCTGATGATTTACCTATTTCCTCGAGGAAAGAGAAAAGGTCTTGCACTCATCCTATTTCTTAATTTGTTTCTTCTAAATTCCTTACCAAGCAGCACAGGAGTTTCATTTCAGCCCTTGATTCTATCAGAATCGAAATATCAATTCAAGAAGCATTGAAGGATGAGAAATGAGTTCAAGCCATTAACGAAGAGATGAGTGCATTGGAGAAGAATGAAAAATAGGGAGTTGTTGATAGACTGAGAGAAGAAAAGGGCAATGAGGTGTAGATGGATCAGTACATTGAAGTATCGATCTATAGGGGTCTTATTATCTCTTAATGCTCACTTTGATTGGGAATTGCACCTGTTTGATATAAAAAAATGCTTCTCTCACAGAGTTGGAGAAGGAGGTTTACATGGAAATTCCACCACGATTTCTTTCAACAATGAAATGAATTAAGTTTGCAAGGAAAAAAAGGCTCTATATAGGTAGAAGCAATCTCCGTGGTTTGAAAGATCTACGCAGGTCATGGTAACCTTGGGATATGTTAAAGATATATAAAACCATTATTGTAGCCTCACCCACCAGCTTAAGATTTTGGGTTGAATTGGTTCTCTATATGGTATCAAAGCCTCAGTGACCAAGCGGTCCCGAGTTCGATCCTCACTTAGGTGAGCCTGTGCATTGTCCACCCTTTCGCTCCATCTACATACCATTCCTTTATTTTATTATTATTTTTTTTTTATGCACGATGGCACCTACTGACTTAAGCTAGAAAGTTAGATATTATATATCCCACGTAACTCTTATTTTATTGTTTGTTTTGCTCCTTTGTTAAACCATCTTCATAGGATCCAACCTTTTGTCCATCTACATACTATTTCCTTTATTTTATTATTATTTTTTGGTTAACATGATGGCACCTTTTGATTCAAATTAGATATTATATATTCCACCCACTTTATATTTTATTATTTGGTTCGCTTCTTAGTTTCGTTTCAGTAGATATTGTTATTTACATTAAGTGATTATATATACTGTGATTTATTTCTATTCAACTGTGATTTATATTTTATATTCCACCTTTTTATTATATATTTGATTATATATTCTAATCATTATTCATGGCTCCTTCATATAGGTTTTGATAACTACAAATATATGTTGGATATATGTGGTACGTAGTAAACTCTTACGTTTCGTTTACGTTTCACGATTTTACGTTTTTGCTCACCCCGATCGTTTTTACGTAGACTCTACGTTTTAACAACATTGAATACCAGTTCAACATGATAGAAGAAAACATATTGAGATCAATCATCACTTCATCAAGGAGAATTATATAGTGGACTGATTACTACTCTATATATGCCTTCAAGATTTCAAGTGCAGATGTGTTGAAGAAAGGGCTGCCCACAGAGCGCTTTCAATTCCTTATTAGCAAGTTGGGAATGGTAGATATTCATTCACCCACTTGAAAGGGAGTGTTGTAAATATAAAAGGAATAATCATCTAATTATGGTAAGTTTGTTTTACGTTAGAACAGATTTGTAGGGCAGACTCGTTTCCTATTTATATAGGAAGGGGTAAATGAAAAAATTGAACAAAAATAAGAGTAATAGCATTAATACAAACATAAAATGTTCTAAAGAAAGCAATGACAGGAGAATCATAAAAAAAATTAAAGAAAGTGATATGGAAAATTGTAAGGATACATACCACCCGTCCCTCAGTTGCAGACAAGTACGCTTGTAGCTCAGACTCAATAACTTTAAGCAACGAATATGCTCCAAGCATGTGCTTCTTTTCCAATTGGCAGGCTATCTTTAAGAACTGATGCCTGGCAAGCAGATTGATGAGATGGTTTATGAACTGCCACAAGAATTGAGTGCGCGTTACCAAAAGTTATATACAAGTTCAAAAATTCTTCAAAGGTTATAGATCATTTAACACAATGATGTTAGTAGTGCCTTGGACAATAATTCCAGGTATTGGACTAATGGAAGTACGAAACTCTTAATTATCCATATATCACTTGCCTTATTAGAAGAATGAAGAAAGAAATTATCATGAACCTTTATATTTTATTAATGACAATGGGCAAAATAAAGGGCAAACTCCGAAGGCTTCCCAACTTGCGAGGGTTAAGGGTCAATTGTACGCAGCCTTACCCTTGCAATTTTGCAAAGAGGTTGTTTCCTATACTTGAACTCGTGACATTTCGATCACAAGGAAGGAACAACCGTATCACTGCTCCAAGACTCACCCTCTATTAATGACAACGGCCAACTAAACAAAAAAAAAAAAAATCAATCCCGAAACATTTCAGAATGAACTTTCCCAAACGTGGTACTTTGGGGATTTGAGCAAGCCATGTACCACCGGCTTTAGTCTCCCAAGTAAAACTATGTACATTCAACTAAATATTATGCATCAAAATTATGACTGACTGACTGCTAAGTAGCTCTTAACAACTTAGGGAACCATCTCAAATTGGAGAATGTACACATGAATCTATTTAACATATCTCTAGCCTCAAGGACATATTTACAAAAAAACAATTATAATCAACAATAAGTGGCTAAACTTACCGTTCTCTGCCGGTTAATGTAGTAATCTTGACGCATTACCTTCAAATCATAATCACCTAGAGGATAAAAGATTTGAAACATACTATATTTGTACAAGGAATCATTTAAAATACATAAAAAAAAAAAATGAAGAAAATAAAATTTAATTTCTTCCCAATAGATGAGAGTCAAGAAAATACCTTGTAAAATGTAAGTGTCTTGGAGTTGAGCTAGCTCCCAGCACAAATCTGGAATAGTCTAAAAGGGGAGAAATATATTCAGATAAAAGAGCGTATATTTATGCAAAGACAATCATAAATCAGTAGAATATTTTCATACATTTAAGTGTTAATATCCAAGAAAACCAGAAGGCATTCCCTAGGACATAATTAGTCAGTACCATTTTTATAGATCATTCAATGACAGAGTTCTGTTCATCTGATTATGTATTTACCATTACTTGATTTATCCAAAAGTTTAGGTAGATAATGGATCTCAATGTAACATGCCATGATGAATTATGAGTTTAGGTATCTACCATTTTATCCTATCTAGCAGTGCAGGTATTTTGAATCTGAATAGGAGAATGGACATCAGCAGATAAATAGTTCATAATAGATAAAAATTTATGTGAACCTTAACAATGTGCTCTCAAAAGGACCAACATTACAAACAACAGAAAAAAGAAAAAAGTAAACCTTGAAAATATTGGACATTGGAGACTGCAATGCCTTTACTATTTTACATAGCATATAACTCAAACTGCTAAATGTAAACTGCTAATGATGTGATCCCGTAGACAGAAAAGTCCAAACATTTTTGTCAGAAAAAATCAATGGCATTAGCTAAAAGGTAGAACAAGCCTTGGACACAAGCTATGTAGTAACAAACCTCTGATAACAGCTTTTCTTCATGGTTATAAAGATTTGAAAGTTCTGCTTTCAATTCAGAATGCTTTCTCCTGAACATTACACCACATGACATGATTACATATAAAAAACTGTAACTTCAAAGGTAAAAAAGTTTATGGTCAAAAGAATTTGAAAGATAACTTTTCAATTCAGAAGGCCCTGAACATTATACCACATTATATAACTACAAAACAAAAAATGTTAAAACAATAAAAAGAATTCCTTAAAATATGCTTTTTTAAATTGATTATTCATATATATACTTTGTACTTTTACAGTAAGGGATCATCAATGAAGATATCAAGGTTACTAAAGCACAAAGCAAAAGCCCATGGCATTGGTCTTCGAAAAATGGTCGTAAGGGAGATCAGAATTTACAAATCTAGCCAGGAAACATAAAGGCACTATAGAGAACATATTAACATTAAAGTTATAATTAGAGGCAAGTACCTAAGAGAGTGAAGATCAAGATGAATGTGAGCTTCATCTGATGACACTTGTGATTTAAGTGTCGTTAAAATAGCCTGCTGCTTGGCATTCTCAACTTGCGCTTCCACCCATTGTCTTTCACTTATTCCAAATCTGTGATAGTTTTACACAGACCATAAACACTAAAAAATTGGTGGAGTCTGAGAAACATGAGTCCGACGTTCAGTCTAATTAATCTCCTCCCCCCTAAACTACGATTTCATGTCAAGCTATCCCCTAAACTACGTCAATTAGAAACAAAGTAACAAACCAATTTTGCCTAACATGGTAGTAAACTAGTAATATAGGCATGATTATGAAGCATATGTCTGGATCTCATTTTTTTTATTTTTTTTTGTTGGATGGTGGTGGGCTACTCGAACCAATTACTGAATTATAAGACAGGAGTCCAACATAGTTGACAAATAACCACCCTAACTCGCATTTTTTATGAAGCAAATGTGTTACCAAAGCAAGTAATGTGTAATGTTATAGGAAACAACCACATACATTGAGCGAAGTCGCTGCAACTCAGATACACGTTGATTATGTGATTTTTCCAAATCTGCTCAACCAGAAAAAATAAACAAATAAAAATACAACAACAGGTCCAGTTAAAAATATGCTAGGTCATACAGGATACAAATACCTGGGTGTAAGCCACAGCATGGTTGGACTTAATCCAAAGAGTGAGACAAAGATAGTTTTTTTAATTAATGTCTGTTTTGTTTCCAGAGACTCTAGGAGCATCTTTAGTTGGTTCAGTACAGAGGTTTTAAGTGAAGTAAGGTGAGTATAATTTTATCAGTCTTTCAATTGCTTTACACTGTGTAGGGTAGGAACAGAATGCCAGAATTTTTAAGAAGTCCTTGCCCATACTTCAACAGAGCCACAAATAAGTAACTAAAACACAAATGAATACTCATGTTAACTAGTTTTCGCATCATTAGAAAAATAATTATCATATATACAATAAAATATACTTATATTGATAAGAATAAAGTAAGAAAAAAAGATCATGATCACTGCCAGCAAGGAAGCAAAAAGATCAAATTTAAATTTGGGAGTCATGATGTGTAAGACAATACTACTGTGTTGAGGATAAGGAAAAGTGTTGTAAATAGTAATTATGTAGTCATTTATGAGTAATTATGTAGTCATTTATTTGTATTTATTTAGTCCGTTACTTGTATATTGGGCCAAGCCCATTAGGTCAAAATTAGGTCAAGAAGTCTCTATAAATAGAGACCCCTATGTACAGATTCAAATACAAATCAATAATATTTCATAACCCTTTTTCAAGTTGGTATCAGAGCCTCGCCGCCCCCCACTTTCTCTTGTGGCGTTTCTTAGCACAGGTAGGTTGGGCCTGTTGCATTGTCCACTCTTCAAGCCCAATAGGCTCTCGTGTGAGGGGGCGTGTTGAGATATATAGTCCCACATTGGTTGTATGTGCAACTAATGTGGAGTTTATAAGGTCTTGGGCACTCCCACCCTTTGAGCTAGCTTTTGGGGTGATATATCCCAAGGTTCTTTACATGGTAAACCAGGCACGAGGTGACTGCTTCAATCCATACAAGGCCTTTTTTAATTTACAAACTTTATTTTCTCCCTTCACAGAATCAAAACCAGGCGGAATTTCCATGTAGACTTCTTCAGTATCTGAAAGGTACTCCTGGTAAAGGGTTGTTATTCCGACGTGATGGCAATCTATCTTTAGAAGTCTACACAGATGTTGATTATGTCTGATCCTCCTGTGACCGGTCCTCCTATGACTGATACACAGCCCACATTGCCTCAGTAGCAACCTCAATCGTCTGACCACTGGTAAGTCCTGAATCTCATTTCTGATCATGATACTTCTGATGACTTACCCATTACTACTGATTCTGATGATTTACCCATTGCTCTTAGAAAAGGAAAAAGATCATGTCCCAAGAAATCTTGTTCCTCTTGTACTCAATACCCTATCTCCCATTTTGTTTCCTCTGCTAATCTGTCTGTGCAGCACAAAAGCTTTGTTTCAGCACTAGACTCTATTGCAATCCCAAAATCAGTACATGAAGCCTTGAAAGATGGGAATTGGGCTCAAGCCATGCAAGAGGAGATGAATGCATTGGAGAAAAATAAAACATGGGAGGTTATTGATAGACCTACTGGAAAGAAAGCAGTAGGGTGCAGATGGGTTTATGCCCTGAAATATAATTCTGATGGAACTCTTGAGAGATACAAAGCTCGATTAGTTGCCAAAGATTACTCTCAAACCTATGGCATTGATTATGAAGAAACATTTCCTCCAGTTGCAAAGATGAATACGGTGAGAGTTTTGTTATCCCTTGCTGCCCATTACAATTGGGATATAAACCAATTTGATGTGAAGAATGCTTTCCTCAATGGTGAGTTAGAAGAAGAAGTCTACATGGAAATTCCGCCTGGTTTTGATTCTGTGAAGGGAGAAAATAAAGTTTGTAAATTAAAAAAGGCCTTGTATGGATTGAAACAGTCACCTCGTGCCTGGTTTAGAAAGTTTACTAAGGTTATGATAACCTTAGGATATAAACAAAGTCAAGGAGATCACACTCTTTTTTTTCAAGCACTCCCAAAATGGGAAGCTTACTCTGCTCCTTGTATATGTTGATGATATTATTATCACAGATGATGATTTTGTGGAGAGACAGATTCTGCAAACACGGCTTGCCTCTGAGTTTGAAGTCAAAGACCTTGGGAAACTGAGATATTTCCTAGGGATAGAAGTAGCTCATTCGAGCAAAGGAATCTTTATCAGCCAGAGGAAATATGTTCTTGATCTTCTCAAAGAAGCAGGAAAGCTCGGGTGTAAACCCTCTAATACTCCTATTGAGCAGAATCACAAGATGTGCTATGAAGAGGAGAGTCCTCCAGTTGATAAAGGACAATATCAACGGCTAGTTGGGAAATTGATATATTTGGCCCATACTAGACCAGACTTAGTTTATGCTGTTAGTGTTGTCAGTCAGTTTATGCACGATCCAAAGGAGAAACATATGCAGGCAGTAGAGAGAATTCTTCAGTATCTGAAAGGTACTCCTGGTAAAGGGTTGTTATTCTGACGTGATGGCAATCTATCTTTAGAAGTCTACGCAAATGCTGATTATGCTGGATCCGTGACTGACCGTCGTTCTACCACTGGTTATTGCATGTTTCTTTGTGGTAACTTGGTGACATGGAGAAGTAAGAAACAAGATGTGGTCGCCAGATCAAGTGCAGAAGCTGAATTTCGAGCTATGGCTCAAGGCATTTGTGAGTTACTGTGGCTGAAAATTATACTTGATGATCTAAAAATAAAATGTGAGGGACCTATGAAGCTGCTATGTGATAATAAGTCCGCTATTTGTATAGCTCATAATCCAGTTCAACATGATCGGACTAAACATATTGAGGTCGACCGCCATTTCATCAAAGAGAAACTTGATAGCGGGTTGATTACCACTCCATACATTCTCACTGGGCGTCAATTAGCTGATCTATTGACAAAGGGGCTTCCTTCAGATAGATTTCAAGAACTTGCTAGCAAGCTGGGAATGATAAATATCTATTCCTCAGCTTGAGGGGGAGTGTTGTAAATAGTAATTATGTAGTCATTTATTAGTAATTATGTAGTCATTTATTTGTATTTATTTAGTCCGTTACTTGTATATTGGGCCAAGCCCATTAGGTCAAAATTAGGTCAAGAAGTCTCTATAAACATATTGAGGTCGACCGCCATTTCATCAAAGAGAAACTTGATAGCGGGTTGATTACCACTCCATACATTCCCACTGGGCGTCAATTAGCTGATCTATTGACAAAAGGGCTTCCTTCAGATAGATTTCAAGAACTTGCTAGCAAGCTGGGAATGATAAATATCTATTCCTCAGCTTGAGGGGGAGTGTTGTAAATAGTAATTATGTAGTCATTTATTAGTAATTATGTAGTCATTTATTTGTATTTATTTAGTCCGTTACTTGTATATTGGGCCAAGCCCATTAGGTCAAAATTAGGTCAAGAAGTCTCTATAAATAGAGACCCCTATGTACAGATTCAAATACAAATCAATAATATTTCATAACCCTTTTTCAAGTAAAAGTAATAGTGAATTGTAAGAACTGGAAGTGGTATGTATACCTCTAACATAGATATTTGATATGTCATCAAGATTCACCCAAGAGCATTTAGATTTTCCCTCCTCGGCAACAAGTCGGAATGGACCCTGATAATGAATCAAACAAAAAGTCATAGAAGGGCATCAAGACCCAAGCAGATTAGAAATTGGTAAAAATTTTAAAACATTTTGAGAAAAGATACTAAACAGAATGGGAGACACCCACATAGTTAAGTGAGCAACAACAACCTTATCCCACAAGATAGGGCCGGCTACATGGATCAATCAACACGAAAAGAAGGACAAGAAGTATAAAACATTATTTTCAAGATTTCATTAATCATCTAGATAAATATAGATAAAGGAAACTAATGTGACAATGACAAGTTCATCTTGCGTGATCACTGTCAAGCTCAGAATCTTTTGAAATATTACATAAAACACCAGTATATATGGTATGGCACAAACAGATCTAAAAAAATATAACATTCTCAAATAATATATGTAATTTAAGCAAATGTGAAACAGCAATCAGAGATTGCCATGTAATAATGCACTGGAACTAAGTAAAGGGAACCTATAAAAGAAAGGAGGCCAAATGCATGAGGGTCCCTCCATTGTGGGGTGTGGGAAAGGTCATACATGTGCAACATTTCCCCATGGGTGCAGAGGTTGTTTCCACGACTAAAACCCATGACCCACCATGTCACAATGCAGCAACCCTTACCGTTGTGCCAAAGCTCACCCTCTAAAGGGAACTTATTCATCCTTCTGAATTGTATTGTCAATTTGTCAGAATTAATAATTTTTATTTTTTTCATAAGAACACAATACTTATCGTAGCAAAAACAAAAAGTGAGAAGAACATAAAGAAAAAAAGTGTTTTGCCCACATACTGAATCGAGTTGCTTAGCAAACCACTGATTTAGCTCCTTTAGACACGAAGAGTCTCCAAGCAAGAACTGGTTGAAGTCTGAGTATGCCAAATATATACCATCTTCTGCATTTCAAAATAGCTAAACTTGTCAGAAGAAAGATCAAATCAAACAGAGATAACAGAAAAATAAATTTAAAAGAAAAATAAAAATAAATAGAAATGAAAACAAATATAGAAGGAGGAAACTGCTAGCAAAGTATGCAGCAGAAGTCAAAGTTAAAATCAGATATATACATGATAGGGACCTGGTACTGGTAACAGCAAAGAAGATAGAAGGGCAAAGCAATAAACAGAGTTATACTATATTGAATTAGAGTTAGCAAATTACAGAATGGTATGGCTTGTTTGAGAGGATCCTACTCCCCCACGGTGCCTTGCTGAACCTTTCACCAAATACATTCTCTAGCTTTATACCTACTTGATAACAGAATTTCGCTCTTTCCTCCACTCACCCACTGCCAGCTTGCATTTGGAATATACTGCGTAACTGACTTCCTTATTGTTATTCTACTGTTGCCAATTCTATTCTTCCTAGTGTATTCTCTTTTCACTAGAGTTGTGTCAGTGTCAAACATACATCATGACCAAGAGTTTTTTTCTCACAAATCACAGTGCCAAACATTAACCATCTTATACAATGTTGAAAGTGGACACATGTAAGACTAAGAGATAACTAATGCTCGCAACTTTACTTTTCAAAAAATTTAAAAATAAATAAATAAATAAAAACAATAATGGTTTGGAATCATTGCAGAGACACTTGTAGAAAAATATTACTACTGGTTGTCAATACAGCTCTATTTTGTCCGGAACATACTTATTAATCTCGGATCGCAGCGCGTAGCGACTGACCCTCCAAACTGCTATAGCGCTATAGCGGGTAGCGCTACGACGCTACTGTGCAAAGTGTACCTAGGTGATACACTAAATTGTACTCCACAAATATAAAACTTAAAATATGAAAATGTGACATAAAAAACAAATTTGAAGGATCTCAAACTCAAACATAAATGATTTCAAACATTAAAATTCAAATCATAAGCAAATAGAAGGAATTAAAGTCTCAAATAATGTAACACAACAAAATAAAGTTGCAAAATTAGTCAAAATTCAAACTGCCACTTAAGTGAAATGTCAAAATCAAAGAACTTAAGGAACTAATCATAATTGAAATCATAAACATCCAAATCTTCATCTTCACTTTCACTTGTATCTAAGTTATAAATCTCTCCCTTCTACGACGAGAACACTTTTGTAAAAACTACTAGCGCCGCCATTCAGCCACAATAGCGGCCGCTACACTTTGCCTGACCGTCGCAGTGCGGTATGTGGCAGTCGGTCGCTGCACCGCAATGCAACTCCGCTAGAGCGCGCTAAAGCGGGGCTATTCACAAGTATGCCGGAAAGGAGTCCTTAAAGTCTTCATGTATTTCAAATGATACTCTCATAGACTTCCACTTTCCTTTGCATTCTCTAGGACTATAGGAGATGTGTTGTTCAGTAACTATCTTGAGTCACAGGGCTGAGTTTTCACTATACTATACCATAATAGCAACAACAAAAAACCACAATTGTGCTCTATCAAAAACCAAATTTTCAATATACCAAAAATAAAAACAAATTTTCAGTGAAAATGGAATTTTAGCAAAATTTTTATCTCCTTGGAAGCTGTCCATTGTGATGCTTTTCTGTATAACAAATTCAACAACCAAAACTGAAAACATAAACTAAAGGAAATTATCATCACATTGCCTGACATGGTTGAACAATAAAGCTTCCAATAAGATAAAGCCAATAAATTTCAGGCTGTCACTTGTGGATCACATATACACAGATTAAAAAAATATACTTTACAAAAATAAGTTGAACAACAAAGTAACATTGGAGTGAAATAAGAAAAGGGAATATTACCATCTCCCGAATGATAATGAGCCAACTCCTGTGTTGTGGAAGCAATTCTTTCAAGAACTGCATTCATCTAAACAATAAAGAATTTAATAAAATCAAACCACCATGAAACAATACCTCAGGAAGAATGAGATACAGATGGGACCACAAATGAAAAAAGAAATCAAAATATTACTGGTGCTTGATAAATTGTTAACTGACATTAGCAAGATTAGTTCTAGCAGAAGAAGAAATAGAGGTAACATCTGAGGGACCATTTTGGAAATTAATAGTTGGCAAGGACCAACTCTCCTAAAAGCTTATGATATTAGGTGAAGGCTCAAGATTGGTTTTATATCTCTAACAAAAATAATATCCGAGCCATTAGTTACTCGAGTCTGTATATAAAACTAAGAAAATTATGATTTTATTGCCTTGTCACAAAATGTATGATTTCTATTGAAGAACTTGCTCGGATAACATTATTCGGTCAAATTCAGCATCAAAATTATTTACTTGAGAAACACAATAACTATCAACATAGATAATGCCAATGGACAAAAAAAAAAAAAAAAAAACCATAAATTTTGAGCATGTAATCAATCATCCAAATACATTATATAACCTGAGATTTTGGCAAAGCACCTGTAAATTTCTCATTGAAAGGCTATCATCTATCGTAGTGAGGTGTCCATTTACAATAGATGTTGCACCAACCCGTGCCCGTCTTCCTTGTGTCAAAGTTGATGCCTGGCCAGTAAGCATATCAAACTGAGATTGCAGATGCCTTAGATGTCTTTGCAAGTCCAAAGCTTCAGCTTTGAACACCAGTGTTGCCTCCCTGAAGACAAACAGGCAGTGATTAGGAAAAGAAACAAGGTATTGGTACTGCAGTTATAAAATTTCCAATTTATGAGTCAGAAAATGAATCACATGCTGAAAGAAAAAACATTACTCAAAGGTTCAATGGTTTAATTCTGAAGGAGACCAATCATATACATATATCATATTCAGAAATCAGGAAAGAAAAAACTCCTTCTCTATAATGTCAAATCAGACAGTGTTTACCACATTTCCAGTCAGAAGATTAGAACAGACAGGGCAATTTACAGTCAGTTGAAACCACTGTTTAATCTTATGGGTATAAACACTAGATCAGCCTTCTGGTTTCCCTTACCACCAACCTTCTATCACTGCAGTACCCAAACCCAGTTTATAAGCCCTAAAATCCTTCTACAAAAATGTGCAACTTTGGAGTCCTAAAACCCTTTGAGAAGCAACTATGGGCAGATTCATAACTGTCATACTTGACAACTTCCTCATCTAAAATCTTGCATGACTTTGTTAGACAGATGTGAAGTATATTTCAAGTTCAAGCATCAGCCAAATTATCTGTAAGACTATACTACTTTATTTCTTTTTGATTTTCTGATTGCACAAAACTAAAACTTTGATGTGCCATCCACATATGATAATCAGGTACTGACTGCTCATCACAAGCCATCATTTTGTTTGATGGTAATCATTGAATCAGGCAAAATATGCCCAGAAGTGCCAATCAGAAAGTGTCCATACATTATGAGTCTAAAAATATCTGACTATGCAAAGCAGGGAATAGCTAATTTTCAAAATATAATCATCCAAGAAAGCACATTTTAGCTTACGATGAAACGGTGAGCTTGCAGGCACTTTTTTATGGGAGGTCATTTGAAAAGTTACCTTCAGAATCAAGTGAGGACATGCTTCTAGAATCCACTTTTGTTCATCAGAACTCAGAATTTAGAACTAAAAAAAATACCTATCATCAGCACATAATTACACTGAAATACTATCGAGATAGGCACTCGTAACTTCTGCCCTTTTGCATGTAAAGGTCCTTTTCTAGTCAATACTAAGTCAAATACTCAACTACTTTTAGGAGCAACTTTTGAAACAGTCTTTCAAACACAAAATTTAAAGTAAACTATCAAAATTAGCTTCAGAAAGTAACTTTTGCTACCGACTAACGAAAAGCAAAATTGAAATCACATCCATCTTCAGAAAGTCATATTGATCATGCAATTGCCATTCACGGATTACGAGTTAACCAATTACACAGACAGAGAGAGAAAGTTATCAGAAGGCTACAAATAGAGTACTTAATATCCTTCAACCCTTCCTCAGCACCAAAAACCGCCTCCTGGTCATCTCTCCTATCAGAGAAGGCCGAAATGCTATCATAAGCAAAGTCCAAATCCTCCCCCTGTTCAGCAACAACTAACTGTTCAGTACCCATCTCCAAACATTCAACAATGAAATGGAATTTCAAACTGGGTTTCACATAAAAATGGTCAAGAGAATATCACCTCCAAGAGCTTCCCTTCTTGCTTAAACTGCTCATACCTGAAAACCAACATAATATATAATCACCCCAACAAGAAAAAAAGAGCATTTCCATTCTCCAACTAACACAACCAATATTCCAAGCATTTTCACAAACATGGGATAGTTAATAGGTATCAAACTAATGAAGAGTTTTCACTTAAAAAAACCATTTTTCCACCAAAAAAGGAATTATAATAATAATACCAAGCAATATAAGCAAGTGGGTAGGGGCAAAATCATGAGTGAAAAAGGGTTTGCACACAAAAAAAAACCATTTTTTCTCCAAAAAAAATAAAATAAAAGCAATATAGGGAAATGGGCAGGGCCAAAAATAACGGAGAGAGAAAGAGAGAATAAGTAACTGGGAAAGCTCGGAGAGGGAGAGGACATTGGAGGAACGAAGACTGGAGCAGATCCAGTGAAGGATGGGGCGTGTGTCTTCATACTGAAAGGGCCATTCGAAGCTATCTGGGTCCAATGCTTCCGATCCTATTCCTTCGTAACCCAATTCTCCAAGCAATGTGCACAGTCTCGCACCACTCATTTTTGTGTTCGTCTTCTCAAACTGCTTCTTCCACCTTCTACTTCATCCTAAACACTACTTTGTTTTGTAGAATTGAAACTCAAGTAAACTGTTTTCTAAAAAACCTCGCAAGACTTTATTATCAGCTTTCTAAAGTGCTACATTTGCTTCCAAAATATTTTGGATTAAAAAATTAAAAAATTATAATAAAAAGAATTATTATAATCTTGAAATAAATTATGGGAAAAAAGTTTTCGATGTTACTTTAGATAACTTTATCTAATGTTCATTGAAACGACGTCGTTTTGGGTTGAAAAATTAAAAAATTAAAGTGATAAAGACTATTATAACACTGAAATAGATTAAAATTACAAAAATATCATGATTTCCGTCCCAAAACGACGTCGTTTTGATGAACATTAGATAAAGTTATCTAAAGTAATATCAGAAAAAATAAACCCATACATTATATATACAAAAATACCTTGATTTTCGTCTCAAAAAGACATCGTTTTAGCTCAATCTAGATAAATTATCTACATTGACCGTATAAAAAGCGAACCCTTAACGTTACACCGATACCAATACGGGATACGAGATACAATACAATATTCTGACACATTAATTCTAAGAATATTAGATTTTGAAATATTAAAACACGTTTTGATATTAAATAATATTTTTAATTTACATTTATATTCAATATTTTAAAAAATTGAAAATAAACTTATAATATCGTCAATTTTACAAAAAAACATAAGATATAAATATTTACGAAAAAAAAAAGTAAAATATGTATAACAAAATAGACAAAATACTATATCTCAAATATTTATATTAAGCTTAATATATTGATAATCATAATCCAACGAATCTAATAGTTGGAAGTACTAAAAACATAACGAAACATAATTTTTGAACTTTTTTTTAAGTCTCAGTAATATGTATTGTAATGTCGGAGAATGTAGGAATGGTGAAAAGTGTCAGATACGATACATCCAGAATTGGAAATAAAGACTTCAGATTACTTTTTTGTTTTTGGTATTTAAAACAGAAGAACTTTTCCAAATTGAGAGGTCTAAAACCAATTTCAAAAGAGTTTTTTTTAAAGTATATAATCACATTAGTTCTTAAAATATGTATGGTGTTAATTTATTTTTATTTTTTTCGATGTGTTCACGCATTAAGACGAGACTATTTGTTGGTCTCGGATAAATTCAAAGGGGGGCGAATAAAGTTTGTTGAAAAAAATTTAATTTAAAAAACACATAATTGTGATAAAATAATTATTTTAAGTGGAAAATGTGTATCATTTTAAAGGACACAAAGTTATGTCATTTTAAGTGAGAAAAAGAGATAAATCATGAAAGAGAGAGTGGGGGGAAATTTTTTTAAAGATGTGGGTCTCACCAGTGTTTTAAAACCCCACCCCACCCCCCGGGTCAACCCTGACCCCTCCCCTCTGAGGGTTGGGGTCACAAGTTGGACATTATATGCACATCGACCCCTCCGACCCACAAAACCCGGCCGAGTTTCAGTGACTCCCGGGTCAGAGGGGTCAAAGGAGGTCACTGCATTTTTTTTTTAAAGAAAATTCCATGAAACAACGTCGTTTTATTAAAAAATAAAAATAGAAATGCTTGGAAACCTAAATCTAATTGTTCTCTTCTCTCCAAACGACCTAGACTTGTGGTATCTTGATAATTTGGTATCATTAAAATATGAGTTTTGTACTTTGGTATCTTAATACTTTAATTAGGTTGTGTAATATTGACTTGTGGTTATAATTGGTGAATTATGTTAAGGATATTTTGAATCTTTGATGATTGGTGAATTGCTTTTTAATATTTTCATATAGGATATATATATTTATATTTTTTTAATATATAAAACCGGGTCAGCGTAGTGACCCCGTGACCCTCGGGTTGAACCCGTGACCCTGTGACCCCTGACCTCGGTCGGGTCGATGGTCGGGCCGAATTTTTAAATACTGGGTCTCACTTTTTTGTGAGAGTAAAAAAATGTAAAGTGTGTCATTTAAAATGATACATATTTTCCCCTTATTTTAATGTGGGGAAAACTCCAATTGGAGGAAAGAAACTCATGAACACAATTTGGATACATTTATCCAATTGGAAGACAAATCTATTATCGATCAATTCAAAGTACAAGAATAGACCATATTCTACCTAGGGGTGTTAACGGGACGAGCTTTGATCTTAAAAGGCTACAATATACCAGAAAAATAATAGTAATTAATAATAATAATAAACTATAAATTAGTAGTAATAATATATATATATATATATTAAAGATTTAATAAAGGTTCCCAAATGTCATAATTAGATTCAGAACGTGATTTCGAGTATTTTGACTGTAATCATGACTACGTCACGAACAGTGCTTTCTGCCGGATGATCTACATTTTGGGAATCAATTGGTAGAGCTTAAAATAAGCAAAATGATTTTAGAGACGTAATTTGGCAATTCTGATGTCAAATATGAGTTCAGAACGAAAATTGTATAATCCGGCACTTTCCTTGAAAATCTCATGAATAGTGTTTTCCTGTCGGGTATTTTGTACCGCTGTTTAAGCAACCGGTAGAGTACAGAACTAAATAATTGATGAAATAAGAATAAGAAAGTCCAATATATGCCAAACAAGTCATAATAGACCCAAAAATGATAAGTTTATAAGTTTTAAGTTTCGTTTGCAAACGGTGCACAATTAGCGATTCACAGTGCATTTCGTCAAAAATGGTGCAGAAACCATACTGTAAATTATTAATATTGTTCCTTAGGGAATAAAAATAAATGTAAATAAATTCAGAAAAATAAAAATATATTCGTAGCTTTAAGTTAGTTCCGAGTCAGTTTAAGTGAAAATACGCGAAAGAAAAATAACTGGTAAAATGCCACATGTGCATATAAGTCAAAGTCACTAAAGCATGGCACTATTCATTCCAGATTTCTCCCCTTCTCTCTCCTCTTGGCCGAGCTTCTCATCCATGGAGGGCTAGGTTTTCCTTTTCTTTTTTCTTTGATTTCTCATTACACAATCATCCAAATGCAAAAGTCTATTATATGAAATTGATAGTAAATAGTCCAAGGAATCCATTCCACCACTTTGTTTAGGCTGAAATTGCTTGTGGGAAGAGTTTTTCCTCCTCTCCAATTTCTTGGCACTATTCATCCAAGTGCAAAAGTGTAGATTTCAAGTGAGCTTTGCTTGGGTTTTTTTTCCTTGGACCTTGGATTAGTGATTTGGGGTAAGAAATCTCTATTTCCATGGTTTGATGTTCATGATTTATGTTTTGAAAATTTGAAGCATGTTTTGGTGGGAAACTTTGAGTTCAAAATTTGAATTGATTATAGATATTGGTTGTTTTAGTTGTGATAATAAGCTACAAGTATGTGAACAAGTGTAATGTACGAAAAATCCCATAGTATTTGCTCCCCTATGTTTCAGCCATGCTAGGGTAATTAGGTTTGATGTGCAAAAATTTAATTGCTTGGTTTGTGAAGGTAGTTATGTTAGTGTAAGTTGTGATTTAAGTGTGAAATTAAGATTAGAAAGGAAAAATCCCTTGGAAACCACCACATTTGATTTTGGCCATCATGGTTCCAGGGGGTGATTATGTAAACTTTATTTGGATGGTGTGTTGAGGTTACAATGCATGTAATTGGTAAGATTATAAAGTTAAATGGCTTGAGAAATTATGAAAAGTATCTTGGTTCCCTTAAAATGTACCACACGGCCTTTTGAAAGAAAATATGCCTAAGTTGTGTTTAAATTGTTAAGAGAATGCATAAACAACTTAGGAACCTTTGTTAGTAGGAAATGAATTGATGAAAATCCCTAGTTCCCTTGGTATTGGTTTCGGCTATGTAGGGAATTGTGGAACTAGGAAATGTTAAAAATTGTAAAGAGTATGTTAGAAGTTTGGTTGGGTCATTCAAGACACTAGGTAATTATGAAACCGGGTGGTTGTTTGTGTTGCGAGTAATCATCCGTAAATGTGTTAAATAATGATCTTAAGAAATTATGGTCTTGACTTGTAAAATGGCATAGAATTGGCATACATGAAAAGAAATGAAAGTAAATAATAAAATGTATGTCTTGTAATTAAATGGCATTGTAGCATTTTATTTATTTTTATTTTGGATTCTTTCTCTAGGTGTGCTTAGGGACTGGGCGTCTTTGGATTCTTTTGGAGCTAAATAGGTAACTTGTGTTACGAGTGAGCAAATTGATAAAGCTTCAAAAGGTAAGCTATATGTTTAAGGAGTCTTTTCCTGCTTGAGTGCTCCACCATGGTTAGTGAACTATAGTTGGATTGTATGATTATTTGATGCATTGTATAGATGCATTCATATAGAGCTATTTGATAACAAGATATGATTTGTTCTAATGTGATTCCTGTATCGATCTTGGGCAATTGATTGTTTGTGCACTGATGTCTGCTTGGGGTCCTCCCTCGGGACTGACTGTGTACACCTTTGATATGTTCTGGTTCTGCCTGGGGTCTTCCCTTGGGAACATGTGCGTTGATTTCCGCTTAGGATGCTCCATTGGGAATGACTGTGTACACCTCTGATAAGATATGTATATATGTTTTGTTTAGTTTTGATATCTATTATATGATGCTTTGTATACTCTGTATCTGATTTTCATGCAGGAGTGGGCCCAGGGGTATGGAGAATTCTCTATAAACCTGGAGCTTATTGAAATTTGTTATCTCACCCCGTTTGGGGACATCATTTCAGGTTCTTAGATTCCCGGTGAGTCCTCACGAGGCAGGGACACGACCCGTGGTTAGAGGTGCTACGACGGACCAGATTTTGAGTAGTTGTAGGCTACTGCTATTTCGGAGTATATTTATATTGTTTTGTATCCCATTATTTTGTGGATCATGATGTCTGATCCTTTATTTTGTATATGGCATGTATATGTTTTGTACATATTTTTCGCTTTGCTACATGTACAATTGTGTATTCAGGCATGTTTATATTATGAGTAGTATTCAGTTATATGATTACCTGTTGGATATGCATGCTCTTAGTCATAGTGGCACAGAGCCAAGTTAT